GGGTGCTGGTGTTGAGATGGAGATCTCTGGGAGATTTTCTCCGTTTGATATTATGTGGAGCTGGGAGGTCTCTTGTTGACCAGTGTCCTGAAGTTGGCTCTCCCACCTCAGAGGCACAGCCCTGATTCCTGGCTGCAGCACCAAGAGCCTTTCATCCACATGGATCAGAGTAAAAGGGAGAAAAAGTAGAGAGGAAGAGTTAGTAGAAGTAGGAAGAAAGAAAGAAAGAAAGCAAGGAAGGAAGGAAGAAAGAAAGGAGAGAAAAGGAAAGAAGGAAAGAAATAAAGAAAGGAGGGAGGGAAGGAGAGAGGGAGGGAGTGCCAGTCAGAGGAAGGAAGGAAGGAAGGAAGGAAGGAGGGAAGGAAGGAAAAAAGAAAGAAAGAAAGAAAGAAGATAAAGTAAAATACAAAGTTATTAAATTAAAAAATAATTATTAAGAAAAAAAAATTTTTTTTAAACCAGACAGATAGAACCTTAGGACAAATTGTGGAAGTAAAGCTATACAGACAAAATCTCATACAGAAGCATGCACAAACACACGCACAAAAAGAGGAAAAGGGGAAAAAGTCATAAATCTTCCTCTCAAAGTCTACCTCCTCAATTTGGATTGATTCATTGTCTAAAGGAGGGAAGGAAGGAAAGAAAGAAGATAAAGTAAAATAAAATAAAGCTATTAAATTTAGTTATTCAAAAAAAATTTTTAAGTACGGACAGCCAGAACCCTAAGACAGATGGTGGAAGCAAAGCTGTACAGTCAAGATCTCACACAGAAGCATACACATACACACTCACAAAAATAGGAAAAGAGGAAAAATCATAAATCTTGCTCTCAAAGTCCACCTTCTCAATTTGGGATGATTCGTTGTCTATTCATGTATTCCACAGACGCAGGGTACATCCAGTTGATTGTGGAGCTTTAATCCACTGCTTCTGAGGCTCCTGGGAGAGATTTCCCTTTCTCTTCTTTGTTCTCACAGCTCCCAGGAGCTCCCAGGAGCTCAGCTTTGGATTTGGCCCCGCCTCTGTGTGTAGGTCACTGGAGGGCATCTGTTTTTTGCTCAGACAGGACGGGGTTAAAGGGGCCGCTGATTCGGGGGCTCTGGCTCACTCAGTCCAGGGGTAGGGAGGGGCACGGAATGTGGGGCGAGCCTGCGGCCTCAGCGGCCGGTGTGACGTTGCACCAGCCTGAGGTCTGCTGTGCATTCTCCTGGGGAAGTTGTCCCTGGATCCCGGGAACCTGGCAGTGGCGGCTGAACAGGCTCCTCAGAAGAGGGGTGTGGATAGTGACCTGTGCTCGCACACAGGCTTCTTGATGGCAGCAGCAGTAGCCTTAGCGTCTCCTGCCCGTCTCTGTGGTCTGCGCTTTTAGCCCCGCCTTGCGCCCGTCTCTGGAACTCCTTTAGGCAGCGCTCTTAATCCCCTCTCCTTGCGCACCAGGAAACAAAGAGGGAAGAACAAGTCTCTTGCCTCTTCGGCAGCTCCAGACCTTTTCCCGGACCCCCTCTTGGCTAGCCGTGGTGCACTAACCCACTGCAGGCTGTGTTCACGCCGCCAACCCCAGTCCTCTCCCAGCCCTCTGACTGAAGCCCGAGCCACAATTTCCTGCCCCGCCCGCCCCAGCGGGTGAGCAGACAACCCTCTCGGGCTGGTGAGTGCTGGTTGGCACCGATCCTCTGTGCGGGAATCCCCGCTTTGCCCTCTGTTGCTGCGCTCTCTTCCGCGGCTCCGAAGCTCTTCCCCTCCGCCACCCACAGTCTCCGAACGTGAAAGGGCTTCTAGTGTGTGGAAACCGTTCCTCCTTCACAGCTCCCTCCTACTGGTACAGGTCCCGTCCCTATTCTTTTGTCTCTGTTTTTTCCTTTGCCCTACCCAGGTACGAGGGGAGTTTCTTGCCTTTTGGGAGGGGTGAGGTCTTCTGCCAGAGTTCAGTAGGTGTTCTATAGGAGTTGTTCCACGTGCAAATGTATTTCTGGTGTATCTGTGGGGAGGAAGGTGATCTCCGCGTCTTGCTCTTCTGCCATCTTCCCGTCGTCCAGCACTGTTTTTTAAATTTTCAAATAGGCAAAGATTTTTTAAAGCATCTTTTGTTATTAACTTCTAATTTAATTGCATCTTGGTCTCATATAATCATCTGTAAGTTATCTATTATTTAAAATTTGTTGAGGCTTTCTTTATGATCTAGTACTAGTACATGATTTTTTAAAAAAATCCTTCAGTGTGTGCTTGAGAAAAAATGTGAGTATCCTCTACTAGTTGGGTGCAGAACTCAAACTTATTCATTGTGTGGTTTGGATAACCTAGATCCTTGTCGATTTTTTTTTTTTTTTTTTAGTTCACTTGACCAATCAATACTTGAGAAGCAGCATTAGAAGAAACTCCTTAGATTTTAATTTGCCAGTTCTGAGGATTTGCAGAGGTCCTGAAGCACTGTCAACGTTAATCCCCACCCATTTTTCTCAGCTCTTCGCCAGCACAGGGTTTCTGCCCTGCCCGGAATTTGCTCCCAGGGAAATCTGGACCAGAGGTCTGAGTCCTAGCAGGTGTAGGGGAAGCATTGTTGTCTCAAGATTTGGGAAGGGGAGAAGCAAGAGAAGAAATCTGAGTTTCCTTTTCTGTTCCCACACCCACCACAGGGGTGTCTCATAGTTTCCCCTTTTCTTGGTGTTTTTCTTACTTGGTCCATTTGAGATTGATCTTGGATAACTGGGAGCCAGCAACTATGCTAGTTCAGTATCTTCATAGAGCCCAAACTGGAACACTGTAACTTTATATATGTGTGTCACCTGTAAAATCCTAGAAATGGAATAGCTTGAACACCTCTTCCCACATTAAACCTGTGCTGCCTCTTATATTTTCTTTTTCTTTTCTTTTTTTTGGTGTGTGGTACTACCAACATCCAATCACATAAACCAGAGCAGTGTTTCTTCAAACGTGTGGGTGGGATAATAGAAAATATTTGGGGTTTAACACAAAATAAGGGTAAGTATTATTTTGTGAAACTTTTCTTTCATTGGTATGCGTGCATGTACAAATACTCATAAATACATGTACTGGGCTATGCTGGAGAATGTACGAATGTGAATTGTACTCAAAAAGGTTGAAAAATACTGGACTAGATAACTAGGAATCATTTTCGACCCATCCTTCTGCCTTACCTCCTACAGCCATTGAATTACTAAATCGTCTGATTCTCCTTCCTCAGTATTTCTCAAATTCATTCCATCTTCCTCTTCCCTGCTAACCACTGGTCTAGTTCCAGCCCTTTCTGGATGACTGCAACTGCCTCTCCGATCCACACGCCACTTGTCCTTATTCTTACCAGAACAATCTTCGTAAAATGTAAATTTTGCTTATTTAAATCATTCTGTGGTACCCCTTTGTCCACGGAGAACTTCCAAGCTTCATAATATGGCCCCTGCCTACCTCTCCAGCTTCATTTGCTCCCATTGCAGTATCACTGGTAACACCAAACCATGTTCACTTTTCCTCACACTCCCTGAAGAGTTTTATTTTATTTCATTCTTTCACTTTTGCCTGATATGGGAAGGGAGGATCCTTTTCTCCTACCCCTTTTACCTGGTGAACTTCAGCTTATTCATTCTCACTTTGCACAGGAAGTCTTACACCCCTACCTCCCCTGTGCCTGGTGTGCCTTCTCTGTATTTCCAGAATATTCTGAGCATCTGTCATTACACAGCCAGGTTGTTTTAAAATCATTTGTTTAGTTTACTGTTCACTTCTTTTATGAAAATAGTTGGTCATATTCATTTTGGTGCTTAAAACGATGTCTGGCTCCTATTGGGTGTTCAAATGGCTGAATGGCTGAATGAAGATCTGGAAAGTTAAAGTGCCTTTTTCATTCATGCTGCTCATAGGTGATAAAATTGAGACTAAGAAAACTGTAACATCTATATTTTTGATCACTCTGCTACAGTTACTATTGATGACTGTACTGTGTCTTTTATTGCTCATGCTACAGACCAATACTACTTCTAGTACATTGTGTAAAACTGATGAGTACAACATTTGTTGTGTAATACTGAATAAGTCACTTTAAGGTAGTTTGCTAACGATTAAGATGATTAAATTATTCTTTGTAAATAATCAAGTTTTTGTGTACTGTACCTATGGGAGCCTGTTTCTGGTACATGAATAGTTTTGTATGAAATTTAATATTCACAAAGAGGTTAAGACAGTGCAAGTAGATTTAAAATTAATTTAGAAAAATGGAAATGGTCTTTTACTGACTATATTTTGAGAGTTCAGCTAAAATTTAAAAAATAATGTAACAGATTCCAGGCACACTGTTTAAAAGATTCTGTGAGCTTTATTTTAAAATGCCTAAAGATGGAAATGGTGAAATTTGAAAATTTTACATTGTAGGAGTAGCTCAGTAAATGTTTCAATCAAATTTGTAGATACAAATTCTGACATATAGTGATTCTTGGGCCTTCAGGTGCTTCCATTTTCTGTAGCATATTGCAGAAATCAGTCAGGGTTTAGAAACTAAGACCTAGGCATCAATTTATGGAAAGATAGAGAAACATATTCCAGTCTGGGTGTATTTCCAAGTTCAGAAGTTTTAAAGACGCAGAAGTTTTTTAAAAGTGAAGCATCAGAAAAAGAAAAGGCTCAAAGCTGAAATATTCCTTAATATCATCCAGTATGCTGTGTGTATGTATATTTCCCCAATTGTTTCCAAAATGTACTTTTACAGTTGATATGTTAAAACAGGATCCAACAATGTCTACACATCATTTGGTTGGTATGTCCTGAGTGTTTCTTTATCTATAACAGTTTCCTCTCCCTTTCTTCCCCCCATGCCTTTTATGTATTTATTAAAAAAAAGTTTTTTGTCCTGCTCATTTTCTTATTATGTCATAAAGTCAGTAAGAGTTGGAACATATTATTTTAGCAATAAAAATCATTCCTGACTCCCAATAGACAATGTTTGCTAAATAATGTCAATAATACTCAAGGCCTGTGTTTTGTTTCTGCAGGTTGATCCGAAAGACTACATGTTCAGTGGACTGAAGGATGAAACAGTAGGTCGCTTACCTGGGAAAGTGGCAGGACAACAGTTTCTCATTCAAGACTGTGATAACTGTAACATCTATATTTTTGATCACTCTGCTACAGTTACTATTGATGACTGTACTAACTGTGTCATTTTTCTGGGACCGGTGAAAGGCAGTGTGTTTATCCGGAATTGCAGAGATTGCAAGTGTGCATTAGCTTGCCAACAGTTTCGTGTGCGGGATTGTAGAAAGCTGGAAGTCTTTTTGTGCTGTGCCACTCAGCCCATTATTGAGTCTTCCACGAATATCAAGTTTGGCTGTTTTCAATGGTACTACCCTGAATTAGCTTTCCAGTTCAAAGATGCAGGGCTCAGTATCTTCAATAATACCTGGAGTAACATTCATGATTTTACACCTGTGTCAGGAGAACTCAATTGGAGCCTTCTTCCAGAAGATGCTGTCATTCAGGACCATGTTCCTCTACCTACTACCGAAGAGCTCAAAGCTGTCCGCCTTTCCACAGAAGCCAGTAGAAGTATCGTTCCAGTGTCCCGGGGTCAGAGACAGAAGAACAGTGATGAGTCATGCTTAGTGGTATTATTTGCTGGTGATTATACTATCGCAAATGCCAGGAAACTAATTGATGAGGTAAGGAGAAGAGAGAGAAGAGAAACAGACATACACCTACATAGAAACACACCACTTTCTGGAGAGCGTCCATTCTTTTCAAATTGGCTATTAGAAATACAGGCAATCCTTAAATTATAGTCCTCTGCCCCCTACAGATTTATCTGCAAGTTGTTGCTTAGGCCTTAAATACTTTCCCAAAGAAACTTTTTAAAAACAATTCAATTCAGGAAGCATCTGTTAAGCACTCATTATGTGCAGGTTACTCTGTCACCATCTTTCATTGATTATAGGATGCACCTTTGTTTTCCACAGTTTTGCTTCTCTGAAATGCATCTTACAATTGGTGGCAGTTTAGAGCTGATGAAATATATGCTGGGAGTGGAGATAAATAGACAAAATTCTCTGCCCTCAAAGAACTTCCATTCTTTATCATAACTGATTTCCATGGGAGCTCACAAAAGTCGTACTGCAAAGTAAAGCATGACCTTTTTTAATTATTTAGTGGGGGAATTTATTTGGAGTTTTTAACTGTTTAAGGTGTGGGAAAGGCATTTAGGCATACAACTTTTGGAGCCCGTTTTGACTGAGAGCAACCTCCACATTACTTTCCTTTGCCCTATTGCCATGAAGAGGAAGTTGGTGTGAAACAATGCGGTGGCAGCTGCGACAGCAGAGATTGTGGACTCATGAGGAGGGGCTTTTAGTGCTTTCAGGAGTAGAGAAGGGTTCTTTGGGTAGCAGCTTTCACTTGAAAAATAAATGGGGATGTGGAGGTTAGGGGCTCCAGAAGCAGCAGTTCCTCCAGTGGGGAGGCAGCAGTAGGATGTATTGATTAGTCATTAATCAGGCTTTCTTCAGAAAGAGTCTTTTTGAATTTAAAAATCAAACTTCCAGAAATGGAGAGGTGAATGGAAAACTCTCTTTGAATGGATTTTTTTTTAAGTTGTAACACTTCTGTCAAAAGGAACGGTTTTAGAAAATAAAAAAAACTAAAAAAATGACCACCTCTCTGTAGCTTATACATTCTACAATGTAGAAAACCCATGTCTGAAATCCACAAAGTATATCTAAGGTCCAGTTTTAAAAACAACAGAAGCCAAGTATAATCTTAAGACTTTGATATTTTCTTTCTTGATTATGCCAATCTGATAAAAATGTGCTATGGATCTGGTGAGAGATAGAAAAAGTGCTCTGGCCTTTGAGCTATCTAATCACGTTAATCCAACATCTGAGAGGTAAACATTTTCATTATACTGTATGGTGATTTTTTTAAAAATCTACATACAGTTTTCAAGAGAGGTAATTATTCAGGTTAAACTCCTTTTTGGTAGATAATGAGGAGAGGACATAAAGAATGTACAGTACGTTTAAAGAAAAATGCCATCAAAACAAACACTGTCATTCTTCATGAGTCATCAGATGTTCTTAACCTTTTAACTTTTGATATCTGTTGTACAAAATGGCACCGTTGTGTGCACTTTTTGCAATATGAACAGGAAGAGTGATGTTCTTTAGATGTCCTTCTGGATTACAAAATAATTTAAATAAAAATCCAACAATAACAGTAACAAAAATGATGACAATAATAATAGCTAACAGTTAATATAGTGTTTATTATACGTCAGGTGACTGTTGTACAGTATTTAAGTGAATTAACTCATTTAATTCAGGAATAACCTATGAAATAGGTGCCATTGTTTCTCTTTATACAGATAAGAAAAATGAGCCACAGAGAAGGTAAGTAACTTGCAAAAGGTCACTTGCTGGTAAGTAGCAGAGTCATGATTTAAATCCAGGTAGTTTGGCTTTGTAGGCCATAGTCTTAACCCTTAAGCATGATGCTATTATGCTGCCTCAGTGGTAAAGGAAAGTTGATAAATGCCTGGTGGAGCTGGAATGTGACCGAAAGTGTGTGGAGGCAAGGCAGATACTACCCTCCAGCCTAGAAGGAAAAACCCTGGGACTTTTTGGCTAGAGTTATCCTGACTAATTCTGAAATCACAGAATTAAGAGAACAAAAAGAAGAAAATGCTAAGTACATGTGAAGAGGGTATCACAGTGTGCTGAAAGACCGGTAAGTTACATATCAAGAGAGCGATTACATATTTTTTAAAAAATGAAGCTCGAGTTCCCTGGGAAATATGTGTAGAAGCTAGTTAATGCTGAGACGGAAAAAAATGAAACTTGAGTCTTTTCTCGTATCATAACACAAATGTCTTAGAACAGCTTAGACTGGAACTGTGATTGCTAACTCTGGTTTTGTTAAACCCTAGGAGTAGCACAGAATTTTGTTTCATAGTGTTTTCATAAATTAAACATATCATAATGATTTTTTAAGGTAAGAAGTGTAAAACTTGAGAGAGTAGGAAGTCCAGAAAAACTGGGTAAACCAGAAAGTACATTCCATAGGAGTCAAGAGAAGATACTAGGCCTCAGTTTTCTTACCTAAAGATCAGATTTCTTGCTGCCTCTTAACTATATCACAGATAAGCACAGGATAAATTAAAGTATTTGGAATTGTTTGGAAGTATTGTATAACTTAAAGTTGTATAACATTGTGTATTAACATATACATGTATATGTATATATACATGTATATTAATATATAACTTATTGTATATTAAAGTTGGGTAGTTACCTCTATTTTCAAGTCTTTAAAAGTAGGGGCTTCCCTGGTGGCGCAGTGGTTGGGAGTCTGCCTGCTGATGCAGGGGACACGCATTCATGCCCCGGCCCGGGAAGGTCTCACATGCTGCGGGGCAGCTGGGCCCGTGAGCCATGGCCGCTGGGCCTGCGCGTCCAGAGCCTGTGCTCCGCAACGGGAGAGGCCACAGCAGTGAGAGGCCCGCGTACCGCAAAAAAAAAAAAAAAAAAAAGCTTAAAAGTAGATGAATTTTCATGAAAAAGAGTCTCTTCACATGTCTACAGTGAAATATCAAAGTAAATATACTAGTTTCATAGTTCATTGTTTTTAGGTAACAGTGTTTTGAATTAATCATCTTACTTTTGTCAGTTTATGTGTCTGACTATAAAATGAGAGGTATTGAGCAGTCTGGAGAATTAGAAACAGATGTGGGATTGTTTCTGATAATTTAAGTAACTTTGCAGTCATTATCTGGCAGTGATGTTTATGTAATTTTCTGCTACTTTTTTATGGATGTTTCTCTTTTTCTGAGGCAGCATTGAGGGCTCTGGAAAAGGATTTGAGTTTGAATCCAATTTGATGAAATGATATGGAATAACGTAGCCATAGAATGAAATACTATCAACCATTAAAACTGATTTTATAGTAGAATAGTTGGAAAATGTTCACAACCGAGTAAGTGAAAATTTGTAGAATATTACGTATCTGATTTTTTTTAAAGTAGATAAGTCTGGAGAGTTATACTAAAATGTTGACGGTTGTGGTTCTTTTTAGGAAGTGGATTAAGAGCAGGGTTTTCTTTTCTTGTTCGTAGCTCTATGGATTTTACATAAAACATGTATTATTTCTGTAATGGGGGAAAACGAAAACCGGAAGGGTAAAAGGAAGTATGCCAGGACTTCCCTGGTTGTCCAGTGGTTAGGACTCTGCGCTTCCACTGCAGGGGCCACAAGTTCCATCCCTGGTTAGGGGAACTAAGACTAAGATCCCACAAGCCACGCAGCGTGGCCAAAAAAAAGGAAGTATACCTATATAGCAGTGGCATCTTTGAGTAGCACTTTGGTTGATATTTCTTTGTTTCTGTTTTTTAGTTTTTAAATGTTTTAAAAAAATAAATGTTCTGTATTGAGCCTATTTGTTACTTTTATAATTAAAAACTCAATAAGCTTTAATTGGTTGAATTGCTTTGCATTTTCAAAAAATACTTTCATAATTATTTTAAAAATTAATGTATACTCACTGTAGAGAACTGTAGAAATAAAGAAGAGTAGAAATAAGTTTAAAAATCATCCATAATGTGCTGTACCTTGAATTGTCTTTGTAGGAATAATTTTAATTTACTTAGTCTGTAATCAGTTTAATTGGGTTCAAGTCACAGCTCTGTCCCTTAATAGTTGTGTGACCATGGGCAGATTTCTTAACCACTCTGTGCTTTAGTTTCTCATCTGTAAAATGAGAGTAATAATAATACCTGCCTCGTGAGAGGGTTAAACGTGTTTTACATGTAGAACACATAAAACTGCCTGGCACATAGTAAGTACTCCATAAATGTATTCTAGCGTTATTGTGCTATGCTATATAAATTTGAATCATGCTTTTTAAAATTAACAGTATTATATAAGCTTTCCCCCTTTTATCATTTGTTATATTTAACAAACTATGGTATTTTATCTTGTGAATGTACCATACTTTACTTAACGATTCTCCTCTCATTGGACAGTATCACCAAACTAAAGCTTCTGTTAGTTTCAGTCAACAAAATTTTTTTAATAAAGTTTAAAATTTTGAGGGCTAATTTACATTTATTTGACCCTTAATTGTAACAGTAGGCAGTACTAATTCTTTTTTTTTAACATCTTTATTGGAGTGGCAGTACTAATTCTTAATCAGAACCACCCATCTGGAAGAAAGAATCTTGTGTATGTGAAAACTTGTTTATAGCAAACACTCTGAATTAATTACAGTTATAACTAAAACAAAAATCAGAGCACTGTGTTGCATTTTATACAGAAAAATTGTAGAATAGGAAAATATTGTTTTAGTCTCAGGTCATTTTAAAATGTAAATGAAATTTTATTTCCCACAGCTGGTTGGTAAAGGCTTTTTCCTGGTTCAGACAAAGGAGGTGTCAATGAAAGCTGAAGATGCTCAAAGGGTTTTTCGGGAAAAAGCACCTGACTTCCTTCCTCTTCTGAACAAAGGTACCTTCTGGATGATTGGTATACTTTTGTGGTTTTTCCCTTGACCTGCTGATTTGTTTTACTCTTGCCTTTAGTATTTCTCTTACATTGTCTTCTCTTTGTCATTTGTTTTATGGTTTTCCTATTACTATTCAGAAATGTCAAAATTTCACATCATTCGAAAAGCTATATGTAACCACCTAGAAATTAGGCATTAGGGGTTTTTTTCCCTGTTCTATCACCTTCGTTCTTGAAAGTCACATTTTATTATTTTAAATTATTTTATTATTATTATTGTACTATAGTGAGTGACCATTTCCTTTTCCCTGCCCAGAGTTACAAAGCACTTGATAAGGATTCTTTCTGCCTTCAGTGTGCTTTGACCATACTGGAAAAGGAATAAGAAATATAAATGAAACAGTATACTATTCTGTGTATTTAACATGATCTGATTAAGTTGTCAGATACCGGAAATATGTCTACAAACAGAGGAACTAGAGTTCCTGTGCCCTCCTGAAGTGTTGCTATTTGCCTCCATGTATTCTAGAAGACAGAGTACCGTTCATCTATTAGGGCAGGGACATTTTTTGCTCTAGGCTCTTCAGGCTTTTCTTGACTGGCCTGAGCAAATATATATGGTAATAGGTAATGCTGATTGGATATACCCTAGAAAGAAGGCACATCTGCATTTACATGCTCTTTATGTATAAATAAGTTGTAATAAACTGCAAAAACCTGTATGAAAATATTGGAGGATTGTTAGGATAACTTTAATAACTAATGCTGGGTGCGATTCGGCCCTTAAGTAGTAATACAGTATTTCATATACCTTAGTGGTTATTCTAGTAGTACCAAGGACTGGCTTCAACCAGTGCATGAATCTATCCCAGATCATATATAGGAAATTATGACCCGGCTCCTTTGATACAGCCATTTTGATATGGGAAAATTTGATGGAACCTTGGAAACAAATCTTTAAACTCTTAGCAGCTTTCAGAAACTGAATTAAGTAATAAGTGTATGTAATAGACATCCTAAAGTGTGAGGATTAGGGATGAAGTGAGCATATGAGTAGGCCTAAATTAATGATTTATATACTTGTGTGATGTTAGTGAAGCGGTTTCACAGAATTGCTCCAACCCAGCCATAATATGTGTTTAAGTCACATAACATGCCACATGGAAGAAATAAAATGTTCTGTTCCTGAAAAAAGTAGAACCAAAACTAATGGACAGATGTTATAGGAATTTCAGCAAATAAATATCATATAAACAGCTTTTAAAACCAGAGATGTCCATAGGAAGTGGTCAAAGACTAATGAAGTCACGTCAAAAGGTCACAGGAGCCAGCTTGAAGGAGTCTCAAGAAGTGTCCACTGGCCAAATTTGGGACAATTTGAGCATCAAAAACAATAATGAAGGGAATTGATTAAACAACAATAGAAATCCATGCATCCATAGTGATAATAAGAAAGAGGGGAGAGGAAACTGGCCCTGAACTATGGACCAGCGTGCCCAGCCAGCTTGGAATCTACCTAACTATATGGTCTACATGGACATCATGAATAACTGCTAGACATTCCCATGATCTAGAAGCTTCCTATCCTCTATTAAAAGAGGCACTCTTCCATTAGCTTGAAATGACCCTTTCTCCAGGACCCCAAATTGGCTCACAGTAATAATCAGTTTCTCATCTAAGTAGTCACAGGTCTTGTTTAAAATTTGTTTTTATAATATGAGAAATATCTCCATAAAACTCATCAGCCCATGCTTTTTATCTAATTTGAAAAATCAACAGTATTGAATGTATTCAGTTAATAAATGTGTATTAAGCACCAAAAAAAGGGGGGCGAGGGAAGAGGGAATAAGGAAAGCTCTTCTGCTCTTTATAGAATACTCTGAGCTAATAAACGTATAAGGAATGATAGACTTCAGAAATCACCACTTTCTAACCCCTGATGTAATAATTAATTCAGACAAAGGTTATCAGTGGATGCTAAAACTATTGGGGTAAAAGTTGATAAAAAGTAGGATACTTATACATTCTAATTCAAATGGGAAGTGTACCTTTAGAGCAGAGATTTGATGATCATCACACTAACCCAGTGATCAAACTTAGCATCACTGATGGCAGGGCAGCCTGACATTGTATTTCTCCTAATGTGATGCAATGAGAAATACACATCATCATCTATGAAGTATTCTTGCCAAAAATATTTTACCTGAATCTAATCAAGCCAAGACTTAATTTCTGGTTTATAGGGAAGAAAGGAATCTGGAGACATGTTAAATGACACCATGAGGAAACTGAAACAAATCAAAAATAGAAGACATTTTATAAGATAACTGGCTAGGACTCTTCAGACAATGTCCTGGAAAGCAAAAACAATGGGGGACTGTTCTGGATTAAAAGAAACCTAACAATTAAATGCAGGGAGTGAACCTTAATTGGATTTTGGATTAGGGTGGGGTGAACTATAAAGCTGTAGAAGTCATTTTGGGGACAACTGGGGAAGTCTGAGGATGATATTTTGGAATTATTGTTGTATCCTTAAGTATGATAGTGGTACTGTGGTTACATAGGAGATGCATGCTGAAGTGTTATGATGTCTGCTATTTTCAAATGGCTCAGCAAAACAAAAAAGTGTGTGTGTTTGTGCATGTCTGTGTGTGCATGTGTGTGTATGTGTATAGTGTGTGGCAAAGCAAATGTGGCTAAATGTTAACATTTGATGGGTGTAAGTGAAGAGCAAATGGATGTTTGTTATTCTTTCAACTTTTCTACAATGTTTAGAATTTTTCAAAAGAAAAGTTGGGGAAAATTTTTAAGCTGCCCAATAGTGCATTGATTGATGTAGAATAATGAGCAGGCTGTCTGTGGAGATATTCCAGCAGGTGTTGGATGGATTGGGTCCTTATGTAAAAGTGGCCATCAGTCATTCTGAGGAGAGTTTCTCAGCCTCAGCACTGTTGACATTTTAGATAATTCTTTGCTGTGGTGGGCTCTCTTGTACATTATAGGATGTTTAGCAGCATCTCTGGCCTCTACTGACTAGGTACCAATAGCACACTGCCCCAGTTATGGCAACCAAAAATGTTTCCAGACATTGCCAAATGCCCCGTGGGGGACAAAATTGCTCCCAGTTGCAAACCACTGTTCTTAGCAGGGGGATGGACTTATTCTTTTGAAAATTCACTTTTATTTCAAATAGTTTATACTTTAGAGTCTCTAAGTTTTCCTCTTCAGTTAAAGTAGTCATAATTATTTCCTTTCAATTAATGAAGCTATTTGACAGCCAAATGAGAGAATTCGTTGTGTTTTTCATCTTGAGAATCTTCCAAATCTGACTGATTCTCAGAACCGTCTGGGGTGCTGTTAAAGATTTAAATTTCCACCTCCCACCCCAGAAAGACTGATTCAAATATCTCTGAGATATTCCCTTAGAATCTGCATTTTAAAAAATTCCCCAGATGGTTCTGATGATTAGATTTGGGTTCCTTTGTTTTAGAGGGTCATGTGGCAGTAGATGGACTGTGAAAAGGCCACTTGTTTACAGAATGAATGCTGAAACAAGAAAGCAGAGCATCACTTTGTTCAAATTTACCTGGAAACATGCATGTCAGGCAGCTCATATTTTTTGCCACTTTGTGTGTGTCCATGAGTGACCATGAAAAGACAAGTATTGATTTTCAGTAAAATATTTTACCTATTTGGTAAAATAAATTTTACCAAGTAAGCAATTAGCAAATAAGGAATCCACAAATAATGAGGATTGACTGTATATGTATTTTGTGTTAGAAATTTTCCTTTAAGTGCTGCTTTAGCTGCATTCTGCCAATTTTGATATGATGTATTTTCATTTAATTCAGGGTTTGGCAAAGTATGGCCTACTGTACGTTTTTTAAATGAAGTTTTATCAGAGCATAGCCACACTCATTCTTTTATTTATTATGTTTTGCTGCTATTGCACTGTAACAGCAGAGATGATTAGTTGTGACAGACACTGTATGGCTCACTAAGCCTAAAATATTTCCCATCTGGCCCTTTACAGAAAAAGTGTGCTGACCCCTGATGTAGTAGTTTCCCTTGAGACTTTTCACTTGATCCATGGATAATTTAGAAGTATAATGTTTAATTTCCAAACATTTGGGAGATTGTCCAGATGTGTTTCTATTACTGATTTCTAGATTAATGCTGTTATGGTCTGAAAACACACATTGTATGATTTCTGTTTTCTTTAATATGTTAAGGCTTGTTTTCTGGAATAGGATATAGTCTATCTTGGTGAATAATCTATGTGCAGGTGAGAAGAATATATAATCTGCTTTTCTTTGCAGAAATGTTCTATAAATGTCCACTAGGTCGGTTTGGTTGATAGCGCTATTCAGGTCATCTATATCCTTACTGATTTTCTGCCTACTTGCTCTATGAATTAGAGGAGTGTCAAAGTCTTCAACTGTAATTGTAGATTCGTCTATTTCTTTTTTCAGACTCTATCAGATTTTGCCTTGTGAATTTTGAAACTCTGTCATTAGGTGCATACACATCTAGGATTATGTCTTCTTGAAGAATCCTTTATTATTATGTAATGTCCCTCTTTGTCTCTGATAATCTTCCTTGTTCTAAAATCTGCTTTGTCTGAAATACAGCTACTCCAGCTTTTGTTTGGTTGTTAGTGTTTCATCATAAAGCTTTATCCCTTTTCTTTGAGCTTATCAAAATCTGTGTATCTAAGGTGAATTTTTTGTAGACAGCATATAGTTGGTTCTTGCTTTTCAATCCAATTTGACAGTCTCTGTCTTTTTTTTTTTGGCTGCCTTGGGTCTTCGTTGCTGCCCCTGAACTTTCTCTAGTTGCAGTGAGCAGGGGTTACTCTTCGTTGCGGTGCATGGGCTTCTCATTGCAGTGGCTTCTCTTGTTGCTGAGCATGGGCTCTAGGCACACGGGCTTCAGTAGTTGTGGCTCGCAGGCTCAGTAGTTGTGGCTTGTGGGCTCTAGAGCGCAGGCTCAGTAGTTGTGGT